CAATTGTGCTGAGGTAAGTTAGACTCCTACTTTCTAGACTGTTAGACATGTAGAATACACAAAACAATATTGTGCTTATGATCATCCCCTAGTATTATTTATAATTCCCCTGTGAAATACAATTAGTGACTTCTCACGCACCTCAGCCCTCTTCTTCAATCTGTTGTACCCAGAGAAGTTAATATAATTTAACACAAGATTTCAAAATATTTTCCCATCCACATGTCTCTACTAAGAGAAAACTTTAGGAACTTGAAGAACTGAGAACAGCTAACACCAGTTCTGTCTCCTCCAATTATGTCCTCCCCTTCTCATTATCCCACAACAATGCTTCCTGCAGTCCTCATCATAGCCACTATGAGCAAGCTCCACCCACTCATTCCACAGTTGACTTAACTCTGCCCCTTTGTTACTATTAAAAGCAAAGTCCCTCCCCCTCCATTTCCAGAAAAGCATCCTCCTTTTCTCAGCTCTCTTGTTCCTTCTGGAGATCTAAAGTCCAGGGAGAAACTTTTCTTTACAAGTGAATACTGTGATCATCTGGCCCAACAGAGACACATGTACCAACAGTGCTTCTGGAATAACAATATGGAAAGGGCCACAGAGGGGTTCATCTCTAATGCGGTGCACATTTTGGAACATTTATTATATAGAAAAGCACCAGCACACAGACACAGAGTGCAAACACAGCACTTAACATATCAATAATATTTATTTGTTGGTCACCTCTCTCTCTCTCTCTCTCTCTCTCTCTCTCTCTCTCTCTCTCTCACACACACACACCATGTATCTGTGTGTACAAAGAGCTTATACTCATTCACACAATGTAGAAACCATACCCAGAAGAGACTTCCCCTCTTCTTAGGCAATTACAACAAAATACAGTACATCTGAGATCAGTGAAGAAGCATTTCCTGGAAACATCCAGAGCAGGCATTGAAATTCTCCCAGAGGCAATTTCCAAGGCTTCCTGAAAGAGCTGAGATTTAAACTGCCTAGGATTTGCTTCTGTCTATTTATACTTTATGTAGATAATATTAAAAAACACATAAAGGAGTGAGGAGATGTACAATTTTATTTGTATAACAATTCAGCTGCATAATATTAAAACGATTCTGATAGGCATACTGAGACCATAACCAGCCTTCATAACATTCTTTAATTAAAATAGGGAAAAACGTTTGTGCTCCAAATAACCACCTTACAAAAAAAATCCTTGGGGACCTAATGCCTGTTTATAATAAAGAATAGCACTGAATTGTGGAAGGAATTAACAAAATGGCAATGCTGGGCTTTTGTAATTGGTTGTGAATGCGTTAAAAACACTAGGCATTTTGTATGAATGAAAATGCATAATTTTTCCCATTAGGCATTCCAAACATTAGTTGGAGAAATAAATTTCTGAATAGTTTATATCTACTGGCTTTCTTTTAATGGTAGTTGTGTATGAGCTAAGCATCAGTTGTATATTTTGTGATGTAAAGTCTCTTCAAAGAAATGAACCCTTAAGCCTCCAGGGCTTACCTTCTCAGTTATATAACCCCAATTATCAGCTGCGTGAAAAAGTGGTTTAATCTCAGTACTTCAGAATTCTATATACAGAGCAAAATGAATGACTGGTTGGAGAGAAAGTAATTTTCCCCTTAGAGAGACATTTTGAAAAGCCATGTTTATATGGATGAATTTTTATCACTACTATCAATTAATAAATTGAAGAGGAGAAGGTTGGTAAGGGATGGAAAGGGAGTTAAAAGCTATTGCATCTGACATTTCCCCAAATAGTCTATTCCTTATGGTCACCCTATGGGGTAGTTTCATTACCTTGGTTTTACAGATGAACACTCAGGTGCAGTCCTTAGTAAGGAACAAAGCTGTGGCTTGAATTCAGCTTTGTCCCATCTGAACACTTTTATTTCATTACTCCATATGTCTGCCTGTATCTGATTAAGAATCATAAAATGCTAGCATAAATTATTATTTCCCAGTTGGAAAACCATTTAATGTAGTTTTAGAGCGTCTACCAAGTCACTTACACTCCTAGAGTCAAAAGTAGGGATTGGCAAACTTTTTCAGTAGAGGGTCAATTAGTCAGTACTTTGAGCTAAATGACAAGACCCAGGCAGCTGGTGTTTAACTGTGCTTACTACTTCACTCAGCAAGGGTGCTGATTGCACTGTCTTCCCAGCCCCATGACACATTCCTAATATATTTTTAATTGACAAGAAACTTTCTGATTACTCTTTTATTTTCGGAGGAATCAAAGTCAGTTCCAAAAGAAAAAATGATAATACTTGAGAACTTTTAAATTTCTCACTTATGATTCTTTATCTCTTCATGGAAAGTCCATGTGGCAGTTACTCAGGCTTTCCTCTTCTCAGGATCTATTTTGGGGAAAAACGCCACTGTGGGAATGTAGCTGTGTTATATTTAAAAAATGGGTACATTATTAGGATAGTAACCTTCCAGAAAGAATTACTCATAAGATCTATAAAAGTAAAACAATGGCACAAATTAGTGATTTTATGAAAATATTCTGCTTTACGTAATTGAAACATTTATTTCATAGATTTTGGTCAAGTTATTAAATTACTATTTAATTTATATGAATAACAACTTGCAGGACACCAGAGTGTTGCTACTGTGCCTTTCAGATGCCCTGTGGTTTCCAAGAGTTCAAAAACAGTCTTTGATTTATGCCTAAAGTATGGCTCTCAGTACTTCAGCTAATGCTTCCACACCACACGGGTAGATTCTTGACTGGAAATGTGTTCCAAGCATTTTCCCCTGTGTTCTGATTTGATCCAATTATCAGGCCATCTTGACTATTTCAAACCTTAGAATTCTTCAAGATTTACTTCTAACTTGAGTTAACCTTAGTCTTTCAATACTAAAGTATTTGTAGAATCCATAGTTTTTACTTCATAGTATGTCTTCTCACCCTTAAATGCCCCCATATTACAAGTACTAAGGGTAATGGACTTCCCTGAGTGGTATTTCACAGGGTCCATTAACAAATGCTGAAAATATTTTTCATTCTATTTTATAGCAGACTTTAGAATGTGATCTTCTTTGGAAATTGCATTGCAGAGGTAATCAAGTTAAAGTAGGATAAGGTGTAACTAATGTCTGGTGTCCTGTAAAAAGAAATTTTTCCCACAAGGCCCTCAGGGACAACTCTAGCAATACCTTGATTAAAACTCCTACCCTTCTGCAAGTGAAGCAATAAAGTCTTACTGTATAAACTCACTCAGCTTTTACTGTTTCATTGTGGGAGCCTTAGCAGGCTGACCTAGTATTTAACATTTGCTAAATGACTGATCTGTGACCACCCATGGTCACGGTTTGATGAATTGCCTCATGAGATGCACTTCTTTCATCACCCACATCCTATGTGCTCTTGTTGAGTCACTGTGTCTTCTGAAAAAATGAGTGTTTCCCAGGGCATCGTATACACATCCAGATCCCAGGATGATGTGATGGCTTTTAATTGTCCTGGAGCAGGGATGACTCCATATGGACCTAAAGCAATGTAATTATGAGAAGTTTAAGGGCTAGGATATTAACCAGTGTAGTTTTCTCATGAAGACTCTCTGAGTAAAACCTATTTTTTTGATGATCTGTAGAAATTTCTAAAGGAGTCGTATTTACTCAATAGTGAGATGTGGAGAACAGTTGATGCTGTCTTTAGGAATTTCCTCTAAAATGATTCAGATTCAAATTTGTGTAATGTGTTTATCTTTTATTATGAAATTAAAGGGGAAAGTGATTTTTAATGCATAACTCCAAAAGATTTCCAAAATATACCCAAAAGAAGAACAGAATCTGACTGACTAACGCTTGGCAAAGCATAACCCTAAGATTGCATTATCCAGGAAAAGGCAGCTTAGTCCTTTCTTCAAACACAAGCTATAAGGCAATGCCACGGAGGTCAGAAGAGGGCTTCAGATTCCCCTGGAACTCTGATGGTAAGGAGTCTTTAGAATACTGTTTCTGGTTAAGAAATATTCAGTTTTCTTTCACATAAAAGAGGAGGAGAATATTTTTCCACCCTTTAGATGTGCCCAGTTCTAGCTGCCTTCGAAAACTCTGTGAGCTTCTTAGAAGTAAGGTGTTACATAAAGTAGTGTGTATTTTACCTAATTGCTTGCTTTTCTGAAATATGGTCATAAATACTGTAATGTTCTTTTCAGAAGAGCATAAAGAAGCTTCAAGCTCATTTAGGAGTGCTTTGAAAGGCATAGGAAACGGTTATCTTTTCCCTGTAGATAAAAGGATTAGAACATGAAGGATAGTCAGGCAGGCAGGCAGACAGACAGACAGAAAGACAGACCATCAGACACACACACACACACACACACACACACACACACACACGAAAGGTATAAAATGTCACACTGGATTTTCTTCATCATATATGCCTTTTTTCTTTATAAGATATGTAGACTCAATCCATAAAGGTGTAAATTTGGTATGGACTTTTCTGATTTATTTCAAAGTTTTCAAATGATTTGATGAAGATTTGCATTCAAGTTTATATATATAAAGCAAATGATATCCTATTACAATGATGTTCAGTAATAAGTATGTGTTTTTCCTCAAAAAATAAGAATATTTTGATTCATTGGAGTTTTTAAAATTCTATGCTTGTGTTTTAGATCCAAATAAGAACATAGCATTACTTGTAAATTAACTATGGAAAGTATCAATTTATATTACTGACAATTAAGTTCAAATTGTTGGTACTTAAAGATGCACAAAAATAGTATTGTTATTGTAAAAGACAATATATATGACATATATGTTTAAGTTATTACTTCTTTTATGGTAAGCTATTTCATATTTCATTTTAAATAGAAAGCATGTCTATGGATTTACTTATAATTAAAAATATCAAAAAGCAAAGCACTTTACTGTTTATGTCACCTTTCTAAAAACAACCAGAGGAGGACATTAAATAAAAATTTATTTAGTCATATAATATGGACTTCCTTAACTTTCCTGAAACTAACTTATATGTGAAGAATTTACCAATTTGTACAAGCGTATTTTAAATCTGAAGCTTTATAAGAACTTACTGTTGTGGAATTAATTTACAAGGAAAGAGAATGTGTATATCACATGCTTTGAAGAGAGTCACACTCACACTGAAAGGAATGAATGCTTGTGACCCCTCAGTCATATGATGTGACTCTATGAGGACAAAAGGCAGCAGGAGAGATTAATTCTTCAAGAAGAGTGTTCCTGTGAACAAGTTTTTAGGAAGAAGAAAGTAAAGAGCACACATTAAAATCAATAAATCACAGAAAGGTAATGATTTTGAAATCTCTAGTGAAATATTTTTCCAAGTTGAAATAACATGCCAATATTCAAGGCCTTTTTGTTTCCATCAGTTTGTAGTTCAATGACAATGGGCAAACTGAAGAAAAAAATATGGTGCCAAATGAAAGAACTAGATAAAAAATTCATCAAAGTAAATGATCATATGTTTATACTATTCAAATGATAGTTGCTGGGAACAAATGTCTGCTATGACTTCCCTGAAACTGAATCAGTGGAATTTGGAAGACTTTCTGCAGATTATATCCCCAAATATCTGACATATTCTGAAATTGTTGCTCTTATCTAGGACTCCCTGAATCCATGAACTGAGCATAGACCAATCATCTGAAATGAATCTGATTGACATATGACAGATACCTCATGGGTCATGCTGGTAAATTTCCAATTCTACAGTGTACCACTATAGAGAGTGCTCATTGACACTTAGAGTTCAGGTTCCTCGGCGTGTGATATTAGTAAGGTTGCTGGCTATGATTTTGATTATTTTAGCATGAAAGCTACATTTCTATTCAAATAGCTATGCTTATTAAACTTAAAGTATTTTAATAGTTTTTACAACCTTTACAAAAGAAAATCAAAGTGAAAGATTCATGCTTTGTACAGAACTGTATCACCTCCCCACACAATGATGTCCTGAAGCTCTAATCTCTGGGTGGTGATAATATATGTAGATCAGGTGGTTGGGAAAAAAATCGGGTTTAGAGGAAGTCTAAGGGTGGGAAACATGAGAGAATTAGTGATTTTATGTCAGTAGAGAGTTCTATTGATCCTTGTCTGCTATATGAACATGCCTAAAAAGTCAGCCATCTGCCAGCAAAGAGCCCTTACCATAACCCAAGCATGCTGCCACAGCACCAGCCTCCAAAACAGTGAGAAACTATATATGTATGTTTAAGTCTACGGTTTTTATTATTTCAGCCAAAGTTGATGAAGAAGCTGAGCCCTCACGCATTTATATATAGATCATCAACATTTTTATTTTTCTATATACTTACTCTATCCAATCTGATTTTTCTATATACTTACTCTACCCAATCTCCCCTCACTGTTATGCCTTCGCAGATTTAAAAACCTTAACAATATCCAGGTTGTTACTTCTTAGTGATTGTGGTGAATGCCTTTATTAATCCCAGCACTCAGAAGGCAGAGGCAGGCAGATCTCTGTGAGTTCAAGGCCAGCCTCCTCTACACAGTGAGTTCCAGGAGAGCTGGGACTACAGGGAGACCCCGTCTTTAAAAAGACAAATAAAAAATAAATAAAATAAATAAATAAATAAAAAGAATGTCTCTGGTGAATGATAGATATTTTTAGTAAATGTATCCTTTTTTAACATTGTTAGTCTTAGTCTTTTTCTTATTTTTTGTTTTGATTTAATCTTTGGAAGTGCTAAAGATTGAACAAAGACCTTGCAGTTGATAGGAAACCCTTTAACACTGTGCTACATCCTTAATCTTCAAGTTGTCTTCTACCATAGCTATATTGATCACCTGAAATTCCTAGGTCTTATGAAATTGACCCAAACAGTTTTACTTTATCAATAACATAGCCCTCATTTCAACATGTTCTTATATCAGAAATATGTCATTTGTTACTTCAGTCTTTTCTTTGGTTAGAGGTGTTTATTGATTGTATGTAAACATTTTAGGTTAATGTGATATACTTTTAAACATTTCCTTTAACAACAGTTATGGTTTATATCTGCTAAGTATTTATTGTGTGGTCTACTGTATAAAAGTGTTTTACTAAGTAATATGATTTGATCGCTAATTTTCTCTTAAACATTAAGTTATAGTTTTTAGCCCTCTCATGACATTTATTCATAAATATTATAACATAAGAAAAGAGAATAATATTTATTTCAAAATATCAAAGAAATATAAAAAGCTGAAGTTTTTGCTTCAAAACATTGAATTTTGTATTCATCAGTGTTTTAAAAACTTTAAGTGTAGAAAATAGTTAATATTCTGAATAGTGAGCAACTACTAAAATGAAAAGAGAAAGCTCAAAAGGTAGCGGAAAATGGGCTTCAAGAGCGAAAACCAACAGACACCAATTATTTTCCAGAAAGGACTTACTGAGTAAAATATCAGAAAATATTTGTAAGAAGGGAAGGTAGGTTACAAACAATACAAATGTGTTCCCCACAGTTGTGGGAGATGGGAAGTCCAAGATTAAGGTAAACTTTGTGTCTAGTGAGGCTCTGTTCCCTCACAGACAGCTGTCACTTCATTCTAAACTCACAAGGGATGAGAAATCACAATCTTCTTTTTTAAGGGTCAAAGTTCCATTGATAAACTAATCATTTTCACAAGCTCCCATTTCTTGAAACCATCCCCTTGAGAGTGGGAATTTCACCATACATTTTGGGGGTCATACCCTTTCAGACCATAATATCAAGCTAGAGTCTCTTAATCAACCAGATCCCAAGAGAACTGTTCTTAGAAATAGTACCTCAAAGACAGAAACTGACTTTGCAAATCCCAAAGAACTTCTTTTCACTAAGGGCCATGACAATCAGCCACTTGAGAAATAAGACTGAGAGCTGATGCTTCTTTTCAACTATAAAACAATTTTTATAATAGTGCTGGGCATTCAGATTATTCTGACTAATCGATTCTCATAGCACAATCAGTTAAGAAAAAGATATTTACATCTCTAACAGAGGCAAGAGCCTTAGTCAGAATCCGTGATGGCTAGTAACAGAACACCAAAATAAAATCAGTTATTTATATGTTCTCATGTAACTGCAAAGGCCAGATGTGCATCTGGATCTAAAAACAACTGACTCCATGAGTTCACATGATGGTTTTAGGATTATGGCTCTCTCCATCTTGTAGCTGTTTACCATGGTGGACAAGAGTGCTGCTGCAAGTATGACTCAAAACCTTCCAGCAGATAAAGAAAAATGGGTGTGGGAGTTTATAACACCCCTCACAGTCATGAATAAAAAAGTGTAATCTGAAGGTCAGGTGGGGAACTGGTATGCAGTCCAGTCTCACTACTGGAAAAAAATTCACACAGTAGAAGAGTAGAAGGAATGGGTGGCTAATAAGGAGTTTTGGGATCATATTAAAAATAAAAGTATTTAGGGCCAGACATGGTGGAGCATGCTTTTAATTGAGTCACTCAGAAGGCAGAGGCAGGTGGATGTCTGTGAGTTTGAGACCAGTCTGGTTTATGTAGTGAGACACTGTCTCAAAAATAAGTAAGTAAATAAATAAATAATTAATTAATTCAAAATCTCTTTATATAGCCCATCATCAGAAGATAGCAAAGGTAGCCAAAATGCCCTCTGAAATTCTATTATAATTATCAGATCCCCCCAAATCTTGGGAATATAGTAGCAATGTGAATGAGACACCCATTGAAAGTGGCAGAAAAACAGCTTATAGTTTGAAGCAAAAGTAATTTCCATCTATAAGAAAGCTCTGGAAATTGTGTATCTATCTCAAACATCTACAGTTTGTGTTCTTCTAAAACTTATATTATTTCTAAGGCTGGCTGTGATGGTACACACCTTTAATTCTAGCACTTGTAAGCAGAGGCAGGTGGATCTTTGTGAATTGTAAGCCAGATTGGTCTATGTAGCAAGTTCCAGGCCAGTCAGGGTTACACTGTGAGATCTTGTCTCAAAAAAAGTAAAAAGAAACAAAACTCCCCAAATTACATTATTTCCTTTGGGTCAGAAATATTATATATATTGATGAGGACATATGGTTGTTTGAGTAAAGCCATTATTGATAATTCTCATAATTTATATTGCCTCTCAAAATCTTTTAGTTTATGTATACTTACAAAAAATTATTCATTATGCCTTTCTATGTGTATAATACATACACATTCTACAAATACTAGAACTAGTTACATTACCAAATGATGGAGAACTTTTTTAACCTTTAAAACCATACTTGCCCAATGATCTTTTCAACAGACTTTTCTATAGAATTCTTATTTACATATATGTGTTTTTAGAGCCCTCAAATAGAGTAAAACTCATTCTTTCATGAGATGGTGAATTATGTTGTCAGTATTTTAAACTATTATTGACATTATATACTACAGTCTTTCTCCTTTGCTCTCCAAATATTGGAGAAACACAGTGTAAGAGTATTTCATAAATGACATCACATGGTGAAATGCAAAATTCATAATGCTCTTATGTGATGAAAATGCAGTATTTTGCTGATATCATTCTAAAATATAGAATCCTGGCAAGCATCGTATTGCCGGTGCGCCACGGGAATAATAATGGGCGAGAGCCCTTGGCAATTTCTTCAGATGATTAATAAGGCATGGTGAGGTTAAGTGACCTCCATAAGGAGGCTTCTGATTTATTCTTCTTTGCACAGTTTGACAGTGAAGGCATCTTTGGAACTATTCCACAAGTGGCCCGTTACTCTGCTTTATAGCGCAGAAATGACATGGCCTTGCAATCAGATCCCCACTTCTTTTGAACCTGATTCTGTCTAGCAATCAAAATAATTTGTATGGAACAAAAATGAATAGAATATAAATGTAGGCATGGAAAGTAGCTTTACATCCTGGCTTCTCTGCTCCAGTTCTAAAGTGCCAACTTTCTCTAAGTGTAGCATGTCAAATTGCTCAGTAATATTTACCTCTCATTTTTTCCACCACATCAATAACCAGCTCTTGTCATCTTTAAAGTGCTTCTCGAACATTAAATAATCTCAGATTACACATTCTGTTCCTTGCATTTATCTTGACCAGCTGTCAAGGAAGGCAATTTATGCCCCTCATTTTTATGCCACTTGGATTTGTGTGGCTTCTGCAGCACATCTTAATGGAAAATTGAAAGGCGCTGCTCAGGTGCTCCTTACCAAAGCCAACTGAGTCTTTCAGCAAGATAACCTTTGGATTACTATCCAATTATTTTTTGTTTTCTCATCGAATATTATATTTCCAATACATTTGAGTCTTGATAAATTTTTAAGTAGAAGTTTGAGGATGTTAAGTGAAAAACTAAAAAAGACAATGAAATACTGTTAACCTTTTCACCTTCAACTGTTTAAAAATGGTGGCGCAGGCCTTTAATCCCAACATTTGGGAGGCAGAGGCAGGCGGATCGCTGTGAGTTAAAGGCCAGCCTGGTCTACATAGTGAGTTCCAGGCCAGCTGGGGCTACAAGGAGACCCTGTTTCAAAAAGACCCAAAAAACAAACAAAAAAAACAAAAACAAAAAAAAACATGAAATTGATCATTTAAATCTGAATGTGCACTGCTTACTTCCTAAATTTATGTTTTCTCCAATTTTTTTACTGATTGCAAAAGAAAAAATCAGAAATTAGTGTTCCTTTTAAGTTTTTCTATTTCTTAAATGTGATCAAAATTCAACACACTAAAGTCAAATCTCAGTAAACTTACACTTTCAGTTTTAAGACACCAAGGAAAGCATGTGTATCATTGTCTGATAATGTAATTTACAACTTGCTGAAGTGAATCTCAAGCGCAGAAACAATTCTTCAGGAGTAGTAGAAAGTCTTCCAGAGATCAAGATACTGGAGATTAGAAACATATCAACTTTCAGGTGGGCCACTCCTAAGCACTTCTAATTCATTTACTCTCCTGAAAATCATTATTCTGACGATTTGATTCACTTATGTCCCCACTTGGGGCTTAAATCTCATTTTAAAGCACTCCAATCATTCACCCATTTCAGACCCTCCATCAGGACTGATGGGAATTTGGCACAAAAATCAATGAGAGGATATGACCTGAGTTCTAATTTTCCTTCTTTGAGCACCATTTCAAGTACAGTCTATGAAATCTGTTTTTAAAGGTATCATTCCATCTTGCTCTCCTTCCAGTAAATTGAGTTCATGAACTTGGAATACACATTTCCACAGTTTGTTTGTTTTTTTTTTTAAAGAGGAAGTGTGTCATCATTATTGCTAATTTCTATCTAAACTCATTTAAAAATTAAATCCTTTTGCCTATGGTGGTCTTTATTAGTATTTTAATATTTTGAAAATTTGAGCCTAAATTTACCATTTTATCTTTACGAAATTAGTTGTACTAGGTATATTTCATGGAAGTTATCTACTAATATGCACTGAGTTTTCTCATCTCTGGGTAGTCAAATAATTTTATGACATTTATCTTCCTGTTATAAAGAGAGATAGTACCATTTTATGTTAGAAGAGCATGTTTACTCTAGCATATAGTATTTTCATTTCTACAACAATATCTATGGAATGTTGTATGGACTGGATTTATGCCAGGAGAATCATGTGTGCACATCTGTTTCAAGGGCTCATACTTTATTTTCTAGTTTAAATAATTCTCTTATACTTATGTTCTTAACACTTATTATATATTGCCTGGTTACAAACAAGTAAAAGTGTGATGATGTTAAGAAAAAATAAAATGTTTGCATATTTATATGTATGGATAGAAAATCAGATATTAATAGAACATTTTAACAAGTTGTCTTTGAATAGGGAGATTTTAATTATGCATGTTCACTTATTTATTTATAAATTTGTTATTTTTTGTACATTATCTCCTGTCCATATAAATCTTAAAATCAAGGACAAGTATCTTAATGGATATTGTAAGATATCCCAACATTGTGCTGGATAGCTTCAGTTGTTAACTTGATATACCTGGGAAGAAGGAACCTTAACTGAGGAATTTCCTCTAACATAGAGGCCTGTTGGCATATATATGAGGCATTTTCTTGATTGTAGGAGGAACTTGACCACTATGGGTGGTGCCACCCCTGTGCAGGTGGTTCTGTGTTGTAAAGGAAAGCAGGCTGAGCAAGGAGAGAGGAACAAGCCAATAAGCAGCATTCCTCCATGGCCTATGCTTCAGTTCTTGCCTTGAGTTTCTACCCTGGCTTCTCTCCATGATGGACTGTACACTCTAAGGTGAAATAAACCCTTTCCTCCCTCAAGTTGCTTTTGTTCAGTGCTTTATCACAGAGGTAGAGAAGCAAACTAAAACTCACATTATTCTGTGCACCTACCAAAATATAATGGTAGTCAATGAGGGCAGATTATGAAATTAAATCAGGATGTCAAGGAAAAAAAATTCATTCATTTGATATAGTTTATCACTAGTTTTGATTCCCTCATATGAGCATGGTATAATTGGTTGCTTTCCAAACTGCCACAAAAACTTAATAAAAAAGTTATGCTAATAAAAAATATCTTGCCCTCCAAACTCACAACTGCTGAGATGAGAAATGTTTGTCACTTGAGCATATGGGTTTCAGGGTGAGGGTTAAATGCTGAATGACATCATGTGGGAGTGGCTTGAGGTTAGAGTCCTGTGGTGCACAAGTATGTTCCACTACAGAAAGTATCAAAACAGCTTACAAAATTCATGCATTCTGTATTATTGTGTTACTAATATCTGATGTGAGTTTATGAATTATATTTCCCTTTCTGGATGTTTGACTAGGAAATGCTTCTACAACCACAACTGTGATAGACAACAAAAATGGATCTGTGCCCAAGTCCCCTGGAAGGATGCTGAAGAGGACAGTCACAGAAGACATCGTGACCACATTCAGCTCCCCTGCAGCCTGGCTTCTGGTCATCGCTCTGATAATCACATGGTCGGCTGTTGCTGTTGTTATGTTTGACTTAGTGGATTACAAAAACTTCTCAGGTAAGATCCGTGGAATTTGATTTAAATTAAATCAATTAAATGAGCAATGTTCTCCTAAGAAGCAGCATTGCTTCTCTTCATTTCAACTTAGTGTGAGGAGTAAAGCTCACAGAAAGTGCTGGGAGATCACTGGACTCAGTTTCTTCTGTTCTCTTTTCTGATCTGTGTGCTCACAGATTTGAAAATCAAACCTAGGTTCTCATCTTTAGAGCTTAATAAAGGTTGAATACTGCAGTTTCATAAAAATGATGATTAAAAGGCCTGGGTAGATATTTATCTTTGGAACTGATGTTTATTCTCTTATTAAGAAAGAACAGCTTGTTGGCACACAGTTGACAAAATGAAGTCAGAACAAATCAGGTGAAATAAGATAAATAGAAGACATTTGAACATTTCTGTCACACTGACATGTGGTCCCAAGATCAACCTTTCCAGATATACTCTTTGTTCCCCTTAACAAGCTACCCTGTTTGTAGCTTCTGAAAGAAGAGAATATGAAAAATATTTCCCAGAATTACTTATAACAAGTTGCTCCATCATCACTGTCCGTATGTCCTTATGGATTTGGAATAGAGTAAAAATAATGCCTACTAAGTCTTGGGATATAGTGTGCATCCCTTTGTTCAAAGATGTTTTATATTTTTGCCTTATATTTATCTTTCTCCATATCTGACAGTCATCTGGCATTCTATATTTACTGTGAGTTCCAGGAGGAAAGGAATTATTTGTGTGCTCAAGAAATATTCCATAAGTAGATGAATGAGTTTATGACCATTACTGTTTACCACTAGCAAAAAGATTTCATTATCATCTCAATGTGGTCCTTCACATTTGTCCCACCACCCTCTCATTCTCTCTCTCTCTCTCTCTCTCTCTCCTCCCCCCCCAAGTGGCAGTAGAATCATTAGCAGCTAGATGCTATGGATTAGAGTATATGACCTCAGGAATCCTCCTTTTATTCATCATAGGATATTAGTTATTCAACAATTACTTATCAATTACCTTCCCTATGTATCAGAAAATGTGTATGATATATGAATAAAAATGTGATATAAATATTATAAAGATATAAATGTGTATTATTTAAGTTTATGGACATGGAGCTGTGACAGACATGACTTCTGTCAGCTATATCTTTGGTAATTGGACTTTGGCTAGCATCATTTATCAGGTAAAGACCTCAAATGTCACCCAAACAGAGCCATAGGTGCCTGCTCTTAATAGGCAATGCATTTGCTGTAGTGCCACATAGGTATTTGAAAGAAAATGTAGTTACATTGTCTATAATATAAAATGACTTAGAATTTTAGGCAAAAATCTTTTGAAGTATTACCCGAGAAAATTCTACTTCTGCTCTGTCTGAATTACAGAAGTTCACATATTTTTATTTTTTATCATTTTCAAAATTATTTTATTTATTATCAATTTTTTATGAGTACACTGTGTGCATGTAAGTAAGTGTACCTGTGTCATGCAATGCCCACAGAGGGCAGAAGAGGCAGTTGAATCCCCTGGAACTGAAGTTATAGATGGTTGTTACTCACCATGTGGGTCCTGGGATATGAGCCCAGGTACTCTGCAAGAGCAATCAGTGCTCTTAACTGCTGAGCCATCTCTCCAGCCCCTCCTTTCCATTTTTTTAAAAAGAATTTTATTTACTTTAAATTTAAAACTAAATATCATGAAACATAGTTAATTCATTTACTTATAGATATTTTGCAGAACTTATGCCAATCTAATATGAATAAGTTAATTTTGTAAGTAGGCACAGAAAATATCACAAAAGAAGTTTATTCTTTCTCTATAAATGAAAATCCACCTACAGTTAGATTTTCAGATTAGATTACTTAATTTTTGAACATATTTTCTCCTGGACCTCGGTCATCAAGGGTTATGAAAAGTACCTGTATTGCCAGCATTTATCTGATTGTTACTAGTTTGTCAGTCTTAGGTGTGAAACATAACATCCATGTTAGATTTCCTCATGTTCTCTGTATTTATTGTCAACCACACCATCCATTCCACACAAGGTTTCCCTCTAGTCAAGCTCAGTTTGTTTTGACCGCAAAGGTGAGCATAATCTATCTTGCTAAACTCAAATGTATCAATTTGATCCTTACTATCAGTAACACCATATGCATTACCAAATTTCATATGAGGTATTTGTAAGGGTATTTCTGTAATTTTATAACTTTTTCATCAGTTAATTACGCACTAATATTGCTCTAAGGACACCTTCACAAAACAGACATTTGATAAAGCATTTTGTTTCCTGTTGTCAAGTACAGCAAATAACTGACACGAAATCAGGTCCTTGGCTTGGCTCTTCATTTTCAACTTGTAATTCACCACTTGGATCCAATTTCCCAACCACATTTACTCTTGTTCTTACCTCCTCATCCTATGGAAACACAAACTTGTTTCTTGTTGCTAGAGAACATGCCATTTTTCCCACCCCAGACCCCAGTAGAGCCCAGTAATAATTAATAGATAAAGATGGAAACTTCAGTGCTGTATTTTCTTGGTATTCAGTTCACACTATGCTACTTGGTAGCTCTTTGATAATGGGGATCATAGGTACCCACTCTGTGCCTTGTTTTTTTCACCTATATAGTGGGGATTTTTAGAAGCATCTATGTGATAGGATTGTCAAGATGATAAAGTGAGGGAATATGTTAAAGAATTTGGAACAGACCTCAGTTTGTCATAAATACTGTACAGCATCAGTTCTTATATCAGTGTAAGTATCAATATCACTAGTATCAGTGTCACTATTAGTGGAGACCTGTCCTTCACTTTTTTTCTTGAGAAAGTTTATTCATGCTTCAAGACCTACTTCTCTTATGAAGCATCCTGAAATGGCATAAGTAGGCACTATATCTAATGTACCTCCATTCTCCGAGTACTCTGTGGAAACCTGTTTGAAGAATTACCACAACATATTATAAACATTGTTTTAATTGATCATATAACTCAAAAACTAAAATTTAACCAAGGAAAGGATTGTTGTATTCCTCTCTGTGCATGAATGTCTGTCATGTAGTATATTATCTAATGAACATTACTTAAATGCACAATGCTGATATTTTGAGACTGAAACTATGTCTTACATAATTTAGAAGCATATGTGTATATATTTATATATTTTATTTTATTTAGCTGAAGAGTTCTCGAGCTTAACCTGGAGAATTAAGAAAGTAATAAAAACCAGATATGGTGGTCCATGCCTTTAATGCTAGCACTTTGGAGGCAGAAGCAGGTAGATCTGTGAGAGCAAGGCCAACTTGATCTAACTGGTCAGTGCCAGGCCAACCGTGGCTGCCATTTGTGGCCGGGAGAGCCAGTCTCAAAAAGAAAAAAAAGAAAAAAGAAGAAGAGAAATATAATGAAATTAGCATGTGTAAACTGAATATACTATGAATTTTACTTGTGATATTTCATAACAGTTATTCATGACTATTTAATAAATTTCTTCAAAATTCAGAGGTAGGGCTGGAGAGATGGCTCAGTTAATAGCACTTGTCCCTCTTACAGAGGATCTGGGTTTGATTTCTGGTAACAATATGGTGACTCACAATTGTCTCTAACTCCAGTTATGGGATACCTGATATCCTCCGGCCTTAGCAGACACTGCCTATACATAGTGCATATACATACAAGTAAACAAAACATAAAAATATATAATAAAAATAAAAATTTTAAAAGTACAAGGATTGAGGCAATGATAAACATGTAATTTAACATAATATTGATGGGTCAGGAATTGGGAAATGATTATCTAGGTGGTTCTATGTTGAGTTCTGTCCTGATATTGCAGTAAGGACATTGCCTGATGTGATAGTTAATACAAGACTGATGTGAATGGTGGAGCTATTTGCAAGATGTCTTACTCAGAAAACTGTCAAGACTGGTGTGTTGCCACAATACAGCACATGACTTCATCACAAATGCTTTAGCAGAAAGCAGAGCAGAAGCCATGCTGCTTTCAAGTCCTGGTCCTGGGAATCTCATTGTCATTTCTGCAGGATTCTTCTGGTTGCCCAGGTCAGCCCTATTAAGTATTCTTTTGAAAGCCATTCATGAGTACTAGACAGTGATGATTATAAGCATAGGCAAGAGACAGGGGCAACTTGGGGTGTCTGGTTACCACATACTTCATTCACAAAAGAATCTACGTTGCCAAATTATGTATCTTTAGATAAATACACAGGTATAAAGTTGTATCATGTACTGCTCTAGCGCAAAATAAATATTGTAACTTTTTTTAAAAACAGGCACACAGAAAAGGATGCTATGTTAAGATGAATAGCATTATAGCATTATATTTAGGAAAATAAAAGGACACCAATTGATTAGAATTGAAAATTATAAAACTTGAAGTTCAAAAGGAAAAATGTATAAATTTTCAAAAAATTCAAATGCTTTTAGCTCATTAAAATTTAAATGATTCGTTTCAGGAATGTAAAGAATGTAAGTTCAAGGACTTGGTATAATTATAGCAAAAATGTGGACTTCATATTAATCTTTGTGTGGATGGAACATATTCACTTACATTACATTTCTAATTCCATTTATCCATTTAGCAAGTTCTAAGCAGTCTTTCTAATGCTGATTTTTCATAGTAAAAAAATTACTTCATTGAGAGTTTTAAAATGTGAATGATACTTTTATATTTTTTATGTTAACTGATATAATTTAAACTTTTACCAGGTATTAGTATAATCTCCATGATGAGTCTTTTGTATTAACTCAATAGTCTTTGAATATGTAATCATTAATCTTTTAAACACATAGCTAGCAACAGAAGAAAGCTTGCTGGAGCTGATCCTGAAGGCCAGAGCTCCTACCATTGTGCCTAAATTATCCTCTGATGCTTTATAAAAGTAGGTAAATACTTTGAAGCTATTAGAAGGGCTTCATAGAGAAATGAAATTTTGTTTCTATTAAGCACATACTGTGCTGTCTTAAGGAAGACAATGTTCCTTCCCTCAGCAGCCTTC